CCCCCCCCACCTTCCCCTGCTCAACCCAACCCCTTTCCATTCCTTTACTTCCAATTTGTATAAAGATGCGACCGTAAAAGTGAGAATTTCCTGAGTCGTCCCGCGCGGAGGAAAAGGAAAAGGGGTCGAGTCCCGGGTCGCGGGCCGGGTCGGGTCGGCGGGGAGCTGTGCTGAGCCCTAAATTTGGGCGCGGCGTTGCATTTTTATCTTTATTGTTGTGTTGGCCGGCGGCCCGCCCCGCCCCGCCCCGCCCCCGTTCTTTATGGCTGATTCACACCCCTTTGTTACTCCCATTGTGGTCCACCCCGACCCCGCCTCCGCCGCCGTGGTGCGCGGCAAGCAGCGCCTTGGTCTTGGTGGTGTTGACGTGATTCTACCAGCGTCTCGCCTTGCTCGCTCGGCTCTCCCCCCCCCCCCCTTCTCCCCTTCCCCAGAGAGGAAGACGCCGCGCCGCCTCCGCTGAGATTTAACGTTGAGAAAAGCACCAGAGAGGACCGTTGTAAAAAGAGGAAGGAAGCAGGCGAGTGTCTTGAGCGCGCTGGATTAGCTGCCCTCTCGGCGTTGGAGGCGCAGTGTAATCCCGACCTCCATAGCGATTAATAAATTTAATTAGAACCCCAAAGGTGCGTAAGGTTAATTCTTTTCCAACAGCTTTACAACCTAGTTTCTTTTATTTTTATTTTTTTGTGGGGGGGGGGGGGCTAGTTGCAATTTGTAATGAAAGGTACACTTGTAGTACTGTGCACTCTATTAGAACGTTTTCAGATTTCACAAAGCAATACACTTGAACGAGAGGCTTTCAAGAAGAAGTAACGGTATGCTATTGCTCGGAAAAATTAGTAAGAGATCAGTGAACGATAAAAGCATCAGCTCAGCTTTGCCATGCCAATTTTTAGAACACTCCCATGAACAAAAACGAGGGGGTAAAGTTACTTTTCCCTTCAAGTATAGAAACAGTCTTGGGTACGGTGTAAAATGCACTGCATTCTACTAGTACTAGTAAAGTTGTAGGGTGGGGGTCACCGATGCCACTACGCGGCAGAGCTGCTGCGGCAGCTCAGCATTGTTTAGATGGGCGGCCGGCTCCGCCTGCACTGCGGTTCAATTTGAATATCCTCTCCACTGTTGTTCCGTCGCACGGAGCGTATTAGCGGGGGAAGGGGTAAGCCGTTTCAGAGAAAGGGGGGAAGAGCGGCCGGAGGGGGGGGGGGGGCGATGCGCTCCTCCCAATCACTGTCGCTCTGTTGTCTTTCCATTCCGAGGCAACGCCGAGATTCCTTTAGCGAAGCGGAGCACAAACTATCCCCCAGCATCGCCTTTGAATAGTGCAACAATGGACAGCCAGATTGAATTACGGCGAAAAATATGTCGGGTCGGGTTCATTTTCCCCCTTTTAGAACAATAAACCTGCTAACCTGCTAGGTTATTACGATAATTTTCTCCACGCACACAGCGCGAGTTAAATAAGACACGAAATAGTTTCTCAAATGCCCCCCCGCGTATGTCTGACGCCATGCCGTCTGACATTCTCTTTCCTCTCCCCACCTACATTTCCGTAGCGCGAGGCAAGAGAGTTTCTTCCCCAACCAAAAGGGGTTATCATTGTGGCCACGCGGCGGGCAGCGGCGCAGGAGGGGGTAGGGGAGGGGTGGGGGGCGAGGGCGGAACAGCAGGCAGAACCTCGGAGAGGATCCCCCGGTAGATTAGCGGTGTAATATTTCGCGTTATATTATCTGTGCCTTCGCGCCACTTTAGTCTTGGTTCCGGCGCACGGAAGCGCTCCAGCGGTCCTTTCCAGACCCGGCCGCCGCCGCCGGGACCCGCCAGGACCCGCCAGGCCCCGCCAGGACCCAGCCGGAGTCCTCCGGCTACCGTCGCGCACATCCTTCGACCGGAAACCCTTTCTCTCTCGCTCGCCCGCTCTTACCTCGCACAGCCAGCCGGGCGCCGCCTCCAAGTCCCCTACCATTGTGCGACCACTTGCCACTTTCTGCCGATGCGAGTCAGCGGGCCGCGAGAAGGGAGCTCAACCCGTTCATCTTGACGGGATCGGCGGGGAAAGGGGGG